TAATGTGCTTTATCTTTGCAAAAGCATCACCATCTGAATAACCCCAGGATCCTCTGCGAGGAGGAAAGGGTACTCAGACCCTCAGAGAAGAGAGAGGGACCAGCTAAAGGAGTATGCTTTCTTTCCCAGGTCTGGCCACATACATATTCATGAGCCTGGTGGGCATGTTAAATCTAAGGTTTATGAAGCTGAATCTTATTTGCTCCTGTTCGCTACAGAATGCAATATGTGTATGAATAAATGGAAACAAAATCTACAGTAGATCACTGGCTTGACTAACACTATGAACTTTATTCTAGTTCTTTAATAACCCAACACAGAGCAATGGATTTTTATGCTACTGTCTCAATGAAAAGCATAGTCCCTTAAAGAAAAACAAAACCCATCTGTTTTTATATCCTTATTTTCCTCAACCTTGGGCTGAAATGAAATCCCTCTTGTAGATTTTAAATGTTGACTTCTAGATAGCAGGAAAGACAGCTAAGGCATCATAAAAACAGAACATAAACTGGAAGAAGACAATAGTTTGAATTTTGTCTTTGCCTCTTGCTAATTGGGTTGTTTTGGGCAAGTAATCTTTCTGAATCTCACAGGGCTTTTGAAACTATAAATGAAATAGTTTACATGAAAACAATGGGTAAATTTAACAAGTTGAAATGTGTTATATGAACATTAGCTGTTCTCGATATTTTGTCTCTATAATCTATGGAATCTACTGTCACACCAGACACTGGGTTAGGCTTCACAGACCCTTGTTGTAATGTGCTACGATGCAGGCTTTACTTGACCTCGTGAAGTCTGCAGACTAATCAGGGAGACAGGCCATGGGTACTAACAATTATAACAGCAAGCGAGGAGGGGCGACAAGAGTTAGGAAAAACACAGGTGCCGGACTTGCTACCCAGGTTCCCAGTGAAAGAACAAAACAAAAAAGGCCGCTTGATAAAGAAGGCCCCCCACATCCTCCTTTAAGGTGCTGGAGCTGCTTAGGAGGTACCCTCGGTGGTGCACATTCCTTGCTTTACTCCTTTTAGCCAAGAGGCTTGGCCAGATTCGTCGGGTTGCGGGCCTGTGAGTTCCAGCTAGGATGCCAGGTGGGAGGGTGGGAGGAAAGGGAGCTTACAATGGCAAAGAAGAGCAGGGAGCCCAGCTGGTGAGACCTGGAGCTAGGAAACTTCCAAACACCAGGAGCATGTGGAAACAGCGCTTAACCTGCAACCGGAGGAGGTTAGACAAAGGGAGGTTAGACGGGTCTGTTGGCCTTTCCCAGAAGAAATCAAGCTACGTCGTCATTCTGGAGGCCATATAGAGGTGACACACTCCATTCCTCTTAGTCAATTTACAGTAACTATAGTGGAGTCAAACCACAAGAAACTGGTGGCGGCATGCAGGAGCTGCCGCCTGCCGCTGGTTTACCTGCTCCCTTTGGGTCAGTGCAGAGATGGCATACTCCTTTTAAGCCTCTGGGAATCAGGGAAGAGCTATCATTTCTCCTAGTAAGCCTGGATATTTTTCATAGAAAAGGATCTACTGAACTTACACTATGTGTTAGGCCTACTCTAGCCTGGGAAGATAGAAAGTTGAGTAAGGCACAGAATGTGGTTACAAAAAGCTCACAAGAAGGAGAGACAGTCACACATACTGACCATGGTAAAGGTCTGACTGCAAGATGAGCTCGAAAGAGATGAAGAAGAGGTAGACTGGAGGCCGGAAAGTTGGGAGTCAGGGATGATGGGACCCAAACAGAAGAGCCAACATTCCTGTGTGGCCTTGAAGAAGGATTTTGACTCAGGCAGATAAGAAGGAATTCCAGGCAGATAACCATTGTGCGCTAGCCTTGAACGCCCACCCTGCCTTTTCAGGAAGTGTGGAGAATGTGCTGTGGTTGAAACATGGCTGTGGTGGGTTGTAGGCAGGCAGGGGGTGGGCGGGGATGGTGGGAAGAGAAAGGTTTGGCTCCAACTATGTAAGACTCTGAAGGCCATGCTTGAAGGCTTCATCCTCTTCATTCAGCAGAGGATGCTGGAAGCCATAGAGGAGGTGCGAATAGAGTAGAAAGAGATGGAATTTACATCTGAGAGTCGTGGTTCCTCTGAGTGGCTATGTGTCCTTGGACACTTGCCCTCTTAAAGGGCCACTTAAGGCCCTTTAAATTCAGTTTTCTGAGCTGGAAAATGGATACATTGATCATAAGGCTTACCCTAGATGTTCAGGGTGATTATGTTCCTCTGGTCATAGCCTGCTTAAATTCTCCTTTTTCAAGGTCTTGCTCCAAATATCACCTTCTTATTAAACCTCTCTGGATTCCCCCAGAGCTTAGTTGAAAAATCAAGACATATACCTATGATAAGATGAAGTTGCATGTAAAAATGCCATTAGGTTAGGCAAATATGGGGGCCATGAAGGACTTGGGCTCTTATGGGAGAAAGGCCTGGGCTCGAATCTTGGCTCTGTTTCTTGCCTAAACTCCATCAAGTTGCATAACTTTTAAGTTAAGGATGAAAATACCTATTATATCTTCTCAGAATGGTTGTAAACATTAAATGAGCAAAATGTGTGAAGGTGCTTGGTAAATTAAGACATGCTCTACATGTTACTTACTGTGGTTATTACTGAAAGTGTGGAAGTGATAAGATTCAGCGAATGTCCTTTTTAAAAAAAAAAAATAACGTTGGGCCAGGCGTGGTGGCTCATGTCTGTAATCCCAGCACTTTGGGAGGCCAAGGTGGGTGGATCACCTGAGGTCAGGAGTTTTGAGATCAGCCTGACCAACATGGCGAAACCCTGACTCTACTAAAAATAAAAAAAATTAGCTGGGCATGGTGGCAGGCGCCTGAAATCCCAGCTGCTCAGGAGGTTAAGGCAGGAGAATTGCTTGAACCCGGAAGGTGGAGGTTGCAGTGAGCCGAGATCATGCCACTACACTCCAGTCTGGGTGACAGATCAAGACTTCATCTCAAAAAAACAGATAACATTGATAGTGTGAGATGGGTGAAAGGAGGGGAAAGAGACAGGAGGTAGAGAGACCAGCTGGGTGCTATTGCAGTGATCCAGGCAGGGAAGGGTGAGGTCCTTGACCAACATGGTGAGGATAGAGAGGCAGGGTGAATTCAGGTGCTTTTCTGAAGGTAGAACCAACAGGACGATGGTACTAACTGGACGGGAGGGATGAAAAGAAGCAAAGAGCCAAAGGTAAGAGTTTTGGTGGGTGGTGATGCCATGAACCAAGCCAGCCCCTTGTTACTTCCAAATTGCTGAAATTCAGAAAGCAGAAAGGAGGCATTTCAGGGCTTGATTTCAGTTACCTTGGCCCTCACTGGCCCTGGTCACTCTTCATTTTGGCTCTCTTCTTCCCTTCCCCAACAGCACCTTTAATAGAACCCAGTGAACCTGAAGCCAAGCGTGGGAGAATTTCTCCTTCCGATGTGCCTTTCCCTACTCCTCTGCCTGATTGTAGGCAGGTGGCTGTACCCAAGGAAACCAGCTCTATCCCAGTAGAAAGGCCAGGTGAGGGCCGAGCAGGTGTCTCTTGGCATTATGGTAGACTGGCACCTCCCCTTTCCCTGCACTGTGGCTGGGGCCCAACCCCCAGCCCCTCATTCATTTCTTCATTCCTGGACATGAGAGAGAAACTGGCAGGACCCACAGTGGGTGCTGGACTCCCCTCAGATTCAAGCTACAGCTCTATTTTTTTGTTTGTTTGTTTGTTTCTTTTTGAAACAATGTCTTGCTCTGTTGCCCAGGCTGGAGTGCAGTGGCATGATCACAGCTCACTGCAACCTTGAACTCCTGGGCTAAAGCAGTCCTTCCAGCTAAGCTTGCCAAAGTGCTGGGATTACAGGCATGAGCCACTGTGCCTGGCCTGCAGCTCTTTATGGGGATCACATTTAATAAGCAAAACAGCTTCCCCAGTAGTAGGAGAACACCTGAGCTGTGGATAGGAGCCACTGCACAGGTAAGCAGCATCCTAGCCTGGAAGGATGTGTGGTGAGGAGAAAGGCATTGCCAGAGGTGGCTTCTGGAGGAATCTGTTAGCAAACTGATTTACTTATCCCCATCTGTTCACCCATTGAATTTGATCCTCCTCTTCTCTACAGGGAGCCCTTAGTTCTCTTCTCTCCTCTTTTCCCGTGGAACTGTAGCCTTCTCATTCTGTTGTCACAGCGAGTGAGATTGGTCCCTTGAGCCTATCATGGGCTCTATCTTCTTCCTGACCTCACCTGGGCTTTCCCTCTGCCTCTTCATCTCTCCTCCACCCACCCCACCTTCCCACTGGCTTTACGGGAGTCAGGTATCCTTCCCACGACCCTTCCTTTCTTATTTAACTGATATCAGCCACCTTTGAATAGCATTTTAACCTTTCAAGTCGTCAGCCTCATTGATCTTCAGTGGCAGCTTTTATTGAGCACCAGTACAGGGCAGCCGAGGCTGCACAGCATTGTGGTTAGAGTTCACATCTCAGCAAGGCACTTCACCTCACTAAAGTCAGCTCCCCCATCTGTTAGATGGGAATTTTAATAGTATTAATACCTCGTAGGATGGTTGTGAGGATTAAATGAGTTAACGGGTGTGAAAACCTTGATACAGAGCTGACATATCATCACTGGTCAATATACATTAGTTACTATTGTTAGGAAAAGGAGAAAGCAGCTGCGCCCTTTAGAGGGTGAAGGGTTTTCGTTGTAGCGGAGGAGGTGGAACGTGGCATTTTGAAACCTAGCTTCTCACATGGCTAAGAAAATACCTTTCAAAATAGAGCAAGCAATCAGTTGGTCCTGACTGGAACGCAGCTAGTCTGGGAAGGCTTCCTGTGTGAGGCTAAATGAGGTGTGTTTCTGTGTAACAGTGTAAGGAGGTCACAGTTGCAGCCTGGGTCGGAGGAAAGGGGACTTGGGCTTAATAGAGGTGTGGCTCGGATGCTGTCTCTGTTGCTTGATTCACCCTCTCCCTTATTCCTGGCCCTGTCCAAACCCAGTGAATCGTATCCTTCTTGTTCACAGGGAATTTGCCAAAGAGAGAGAGAGAGTGGAGAACCGAAGGGCTTTCATGAAGCTGCGGCGCCAGCAGCAGATTGAGCGCGAGCTGAATGGCTACCGGGCCTGGATAGACAAAGCAGGTAGGCCTGGCGGGCTGCAGGAGCCTGGGGAGTGGGCTGCAGAGACATCAGGGCCGGCCCCTCACTCCCGATGCCCTGATTCAAGGGGCAGCCTAGACACGAGAAGAGACACTGTGGATGTCTGCTGGGTGGCTCTTAAGGTTCCCTGCTCATCCTACCTGTATCCTCTGGGGTCTAGCTGTCCCTCCACCAAACTGTCCCATCTACCAAACACCTTAAGACAGGCAACTTACCAAGGTGAACTGAATAAGAGAAACGTAACCCAATCCTGGAGCTGAGGCGGGGCTGGTGGTGTTTTATAACGCCGTTCCTGGGCAGTCTGTTCAGCAGATACTTACTGAGTGCCTGTGTTGTGTCAGACCCTGTTCTAAGCACTTGAGATACAGCAATGAGCCAAATGGTCAACCAGCTCACCAAAGCTCTTCTTTTGCAAAGCTCCTTAGTTGTAGAGGCAGCAATAAACAAAATAACAAATGAATGACTCATAAGACAATGATAAGGCGGTAAGTACGATGGGAAAACTCATCAAGGTAGGGTTATGGGGCATAGAATGTGCCGCAGTTTTAAATAGGAGGTCAGCGTGGGCCCATTGGTATGTAGACTTGAAGAGATGAAGGGGTGAGCCACAGGAAGATCTGGAGACGAGTATTTCAGTGCCAAGTACCTAACATGGGAGTGAGCAAGGAGTGCCCAAGAAGCAGAAGAGGGAAGGAATAGAGAGGAGTAACAGGAGACAGAGTGACGGCTACCACGGGGGGAAGTGGGTAGCAATCATATTTGACCTTATGGGCCATTGTAAGGGTTATGGGCTTCACTCTGAGTGATGCAAGAACCACAGGAGTTTTGAGCTGAGGGCTGGCATGCTCTGAATTTAGACCATAAAGGAGCACGTGCTGGCTGCATTGAGAATAGTCCATAGAAGGACAAGGCTAGAAGCAGGGGGAATCATAGTGAAGCCATCGCCACCATCCAGGGAGTAGATGGTGAAAACAGGTGTCTTCCTAAGCCTTGAGCTGTTATCAGTTCTCACCCTGTGGCTCAGCATTAGGAATAGCTCTCAGCCACCTGTGAGAATAGGTCCAAACCTATCATGATTTCGTTAACCCACAGAGCCACCAGATTCAAGTTTGGCTGCGGTTTGGATGCTTATGTGGGGCATCAATCACTCCCATACTTGTCAGGAAGAAGGACGGATTTACTTTCTTTATTTTAAAGGTTGGATTGCATTAGTATTATATATCTTCATTTTCTTCCAGAGGAAGTAGTGATTATTTTAAATAGAAAAAATGCACATAAGACAGTCAGTATCTTTTCTCTATTCCTAATAGAAAACATAGCACAAAAGTGAGGTCACAGAGGAAAAATTTGAGTATGACTTAGTGCCTAGTTGCTTGAGCCTTATTCTGTAGGAGCTTTGGAATGACACTGTGAACTTACTTTGAACACCAACACACAAAAACCCTCCCTAAACTCTGCAGGCAACTTTGGTGATCTCCAAGGGCTGGGAGAGTACATATATGATTGGCATCTGCACTCTCTTTAGCCTCTGGAAACGTGAGCGACGTGTGTTGACTATACGTGCATTTCGCCCTTTCTCCTCCAAGGCTGTTGTGTAGGGATGAAGCGGACACGAATATCCCCTACCTCTTCCTAGAATGGTTAACTCAGGCTTGCCATGGGAGGGCGAGCCGATTTGCCTGCAGGCCAGGCAGGCAGCTTGATGGTCCCAGCTGTCCTTGGCTTCCTCGGCGGAGGAGCCATCTGACAGACCACTAAGAGAGCTGGCAGCAGACCCAGGAAGGAGCCCTCCCAGCCCTGGCCACCTACACAGGTCAGGCGGCACAGTTTGCTGCTCCCTGAGGCTCTGCCTTTCAAATACTTACAGAATTCCAAGGCTTCCCTTTCTTCCAGTTGGCAAAGCCAGCTCTCTCCTCCTTCTAAGAAAAAAGACGCACTGCGACGTCAAAGTGTGCTTCCTGGCCCTTCCCTTTACAAATGGAGCGCGAGTGAATCAGAGACATATGGGTTACATTTCCCTGGAAAGACACTCAAGCTCTAAAGCGAACTTGGCAAAAGGCATGGGGTAGGGAGGAAGGGGGGTGGCTTCAGCACATCCAGAGCCCTGAGTGCTTCTCAGAGATCTCAGCAGCATCACACACCTTCAATCCGTCCTGGGGGGTCCCCAGACCTGCCCACCCCAAAGCCCAGACAGTGTGCACAGCAAAAGTGACTGTCTGGCTAAGGTAATTAAAGTTGCTATGAGGTATTTTAGCAAGTAGCTGATGTTAAAATGATGCCCTCCAAACATGTGCTATAAAATGACTTAAAAACCCTTTATGTCTGCAGGAAGGAACACCCCACCAATAACACTTAACCTGCTAACTTAGCATTTTACCAGAGGCTATACTTAAAAAAGAAAGCAAACGTTTATGCCTTGGTAATAACGGCCATCCTGTGAGTACCATCCCAGCCTTAAAATGTTCCCCTCCCTAGGAAATGTATTATATACTCTCCATTTTATCTGCAGCTGGAATTAGGGTCATGACTTTCACCTATCTTGTCCTTTTACTTGTTAAAAGTGTTTGAATTAAACCATTGTGTAGTAGGGTCTGCAGCAAGCTTTCCCCCAGCAGCTGGGATCTTGGGGAATGTTCACTGAGGCCTGCAGCTCCCTGGCCTATGGGTTGAGCTCAAAACTCATCCCATCACTCCTCACAGGGCATGCAGGATCCCATCAGATCCCTCTTTTGTTGGTGCACTTGGAGCGATGCTGGTGAGATTTGGCCCAGCAAGGCTTAATAGAAAATGTTACCCGTCAGATGTGACACCTCAGTAGAGTATAGGACTGCTCCTGGGGGGCCAAGAGGGAAAAGCACAGGGGACCGCGTGGTGTCGTTATAGAACTCCAACAGGCAAATCTATCATTCCAACCGTCCTTAAGTTCTCTAACACCAGCTAGGTGTTCAATAATCAGCTAAATTCTAACACTAAATACTGCCTCAAATTAGCACAGACCCCTCAGGTTAAAGGCTCAGTTCCACAAGACTGCCCCCACTTTAGATGGCAGCCAAAAGTGGGGTTCCAGGCAATCAACATGTCTGCCTGGCTGACTACAAATCTGGGGATTCCTATACCACCACCGCCGCCCCCCCAACTTTTCACAGATTCAGTAATTTGCTAGAATGACTGACAGAACTTTGGAAAAACCATACTGTATTAGAACAGCTACAACTCAGGGGCAGCCCAATAGAAGAGGTGATAGGGCAGGTAACGGGGGTGGGGACACAGAGCTTCATGTCCTCTTTGGGAACACTACCCTCCCAATTCGTTGATATGTTTACCAACTCCGATGCTTCCTGAACCCCAACATTTAGGGGGGGTATGGATATTTCATTACATAGGCATGCTCGATTAAATTATCAGCCGTTGGCAATTAAACTCATCTCTAGTGCCTCCTCCTCCCCAGAAGTGGGCACAGGGGGAGGCTGAAAGTTCTGGCCTCCAGTCCTGAGGCTGTTTGTTCTGGCCACAAGCCATCTCCTCTAATTTCTCCAGGGCCCCTCTCTGCTCCATGAGTCATTTCATTAGCATATGAAGGACTGCCAGGAAAGAGACAAAAACCAAATACTTACTTTTTTCATTATACCTTAGAGACAAATCCATGATGGGCCCAAGCCTCTTTGGCTGAAGCTCTGGTCCACCAAGACAGGATTGAAGCGGTGGGGACAGGAGGAAGCCCACAAGCCCTGCTGCTGTCTCCAAAGACCTTTGGGTGTCTTCCTCTGACCTCTCCTCAGAGACATAGACTAAAGCCCAAAACACGGGCTCAGCTCCTGGATGAGGATATAGATGTTATGACCAGTGGCCACTGGCAAGAGAAGCTAAGCAAGCACTTGTTGCTAGAAGTTCAGGGAGTTAGGAAAGAGGGGAAGCTGGGTGGAATTAAAAACAGAAATGGAAATGTTTCATTCCTATCAACTTGGGGGATTTTAGCCTCTTCTCCTCCTCTCACAGGTAGCCTCCTGAATAGAGGTATTAGACACAGAGCTGTTACCAGTTCCCCCCAAGCATCCCCCACCCAAGGCTTCCTTTCTGCTCTCAGGAGCTCTCTGTGCACCCTCTGTGACACTTGCTTTCTTTCTGAAGCTGGTGGCTATGACAGGCCCTGAACTCTGCTCTCTCTCTCTTGCCCTGAGCTAGAGCTGTCCCTGAGGGATTTTCATCTTGCAGAATAATTTGGCATTTACAGATAATTTACCAAACCATTTGTTTCCATATAGAGGAAGTCATGCTCGCTGAAGAAAATAAAAATGCTGGAACATCCGCCTTAGAAGGTAAGGAAATGCTCTGATGCCTTATTCTACTTGCATCTGCCCCCTCTTAGGCGATGGCAATCTCTCTTGATCAAAAGGGGAGAAAGAAAAGAGGGTGCTCTGGGATTTGAAATGAGAGTCTTTCTGTCATAAAATCCCTCATGCTTTAAAATGAAGGGAATTGAGTCACAGATTTAAATGCCTTTTAAAGTGATGAAAATGAAACCCAAGAGTTGCTTTGTTCCAAGGCGTGTGATTGATACTGAGCAAGAAAAAGGCCATCCTACAACCAATGCTATCTAAAGGGACCTTCTCTTAAAATGTATGGGGATCACCTTGAGACTACTTCATTACCAGGAGGTGGCATTGTAGTTGAAGAGCCAGGACAGATGGACACGGAGTGCCTGTTTACCTCCTGCAGTTAGACAGGCTCTAGCATCGCTTCCAGAGCGCTTGTGTTTCAGGAGGTGCTGGTGAGCACAGCATTTGTGGTCCTGTAGACATCCTTGATTTCTGTTACCCCAGCTTAGGTATTAAAGGCAGATGCCTGTGTCACAAGGACCTCACACAAGGCCTCTTGCCTGCAGTCCTCAAATTTTATCTAGAATGGTCTAGGAGTATTTGTGGCCTCTCACTGGCCTTCCCTTTCCCTGGTGTAGTGCTTCGAAGGGCAACCATCAAAAGGAGCCGGACAGAGGCCATGACCCGAGACTCCAGTGATGAGCACTGTGTTGATATCTCCTCTGTGGGTGAGTGGGTCCAGTTGGATCTTTTACCTCTCTGAGTCTCCCATGAAAAGGAATATCCTGCCTTTGAGAAGCACCACAAGGAGGGAAAGAATCTAAAGAGTTTGGAATTTAGGAATGCAATTAAGGAAAAGGGCAGAAATCTAATCTAGATAGCGAAAAAAAAAGACTTGGGGATGCTGTTCACATGAAACATGGGGTTCATGGAGTTTAGGGCTAAGAATCCAACCCAGTGTTTTCAGGTGTGGCAGATGTATTCCATTTGCAGAGGTATCCACTCTCTCCTGGGTGTGATGATGAGAATCTACTTTGGGACATTGTTCAAAGGATTCTGAGGAACTGTGGCTTCCAGGGACCCAGATGTGAGATCTTGAAGCCATGCGCTCAACCACAGCAGCCCCCAACTACTTCCATCATGTGAAATTCAGTCTGATTGGCAATTCTATAACGTGACGTGTTCCATCTCAGGTTCTCCTAGAGATTGTGGCCGACAGCAGGTTTTTCCTCCCCAGACAAAGCAGGTCTTCTTCCATCCTGAAAAGCAGAAGAGACTTACAAAACTCATTGCTCTTTTGTGCTGCCAGTGGTAGAAATATCACCAATGCAGCAGAAAGATTCCGGTGTTTGAAGCATATTTAAAAGGAAAGGTCAAGAGAGAAGCCCAATCTGTTGCAATCTGGTGTCCTGCCTGGGGACCTCTTACGTTCTCTAGGACTGAGAGTGCCCGGAGAGGAAAAACAGGGTCACTGCCTGCAGAAACTACGGAGCCCACAAGACGGGGATTCCCCAGACCTGCAATGTGGCGGTGACCTTCCCTTGGGACTAGAGCAGCCCGACTTGCCCTTCGAATGCTCCCTGACCATGGAGGGTGACCATAGGATACCTTGCAGCCTCATTCTTCCTCCTTCCTTCTCCCCCTTAGGCACACCTCTGGCTCGAGCCAGTATCAAAAGTGCAAAGGTAGATGGGGTCTCTTATTTCCGGCACAAGGAAAGGCTTCTTCGCATCTCCATTCGCCACATGGTTAAATCCCAGGTGTTTTACTGGATTGTCCTGAGCCTTGTGGCACTCAACACTGCCTGTGTGGCCATCGTTCATCACAACCAGCCCCAGTGGCTCACCCACCTCCTCTGTAAGTAAAGCCTCTCTCTAAAGCCTCCTCTGCTGGCCCCCATGTGGGGCAGCTTGATGTGTGTGTGAACACAAGAGAGCAAAGCACCCTGTTAGGAGGGGTTCTGCCTCTTTGCACTGTGAGGGAGGCCACATCGTCCTCAAGCGGGGCTGGAGTATCTTGTGACTGCTTCCAGCTTTCATTCTTTAGGTAAACAGATCATTGTTGATGAATCAACAAGATCGCATAAGTTAACACCTTTTGGTACCATGAAGCCTTCACTTTCTTTCTTAAGGAGGCTCAGTGATAGGGAGTTTTGATCATGGAAATCCTGGGCAGGAAGTTCTCAAGGCGATGGAGGTGTCAAATAGACCAAAGGAAGAGCTTCTACGTCAGCTCTAGATTAGACTGCCACTGAGTGAGAGTGAGGGTCAGGGGCCTGTCCCTGCTGGGTATGTGGGGAGGAATCCAGCTCTTTCATCAAAGACATAGTAAGTCCTCTCTTTCCCCTCTGAGGGCTCTCAGCCATATAAAGGCCAGAGACAGGCCTACCTATTGAAAGAGAGCAATGCTGATTTGTTGAGCATGCCTGGGACTCAGCCTGGGTCAGAGGGTACTCAGACATCATTAGGCTCTGCCCAGCCGCGGCCTGACACGGCCACTGGGTATCCTGACCATGTGTTGCTGTGAGCTCTTCTGTAAGTAGGTGTGCTAGCTGAGGGGTGCATGAGCCCACCCCACACGTGGAACCAACGCTCTACTTTTAATACTTCCAGACTATGCAGAATTTCTGTTTCTGGGACTCTTCCTCTTGGAGATGTCCCTGAAGATGTATGGCATGGGGCCTCGCCTTTATTTTCACTCTTCATTCAACTGCTTTGATTTTGGGGTAAGTCCTCGAAAGCCTGCTTGTGCTTCCGCTTCGTGTTGATAGGCCCTGGTTTTAGATAAGCAGCTTGCTCCTTACTCAGCATGAGGCATTGAAATCAGAATATATAAAAGCAGAATAGATAAGATTAGCTAAAGGGAATTCAGAAGTCAGTGAATCCTTCCCATGCAAGGGTTGATTGATTCTAAGCTCTTTGATTTTTAATATTTTTAGTAAAATGTAACACATGCATTATAGAGGGTACACTTAAGTGTACAGCTCCATGAGAGTTTACAAAGCTACCCATAGCCAGAGTTTTGAACCACTTATTATCTTAGGGGAAGGACAAGGGACTTGATTCTGGTGGTTCCATAGGAAAGAGAAGCTTTTTTATTTGTTCTTCTGTTTCCATTTAAAATTGGGATAATTGTCTAGATAGACCCTCATACAAACACACACACACACACACCCTTATATTAGCACGTCCCCACATAGAAAAACAGCTAGCTGAAATAATCTATGTAGTATGGATATCTAAATGTATATATTATGCTAACACTTAAAGGTGATTTCACATACCTTTTTTTTTTTTTTTTGGTCCCCTGCTGCTTACAGGAGTCCTATGAACTATATTACATTTCAGAAGTTAGTCTTCCCACTTAAACGAGAATAAACAGAAGCTATCGTGACCGAGTCCGTATACCCACTTAGCAGCAGAACCGGGTTGCGGAACTTTGGGCTCCTGAACCACTTCTCTTTCTGCCAATCCCACTACTTTTTCTGCCAAAGCTTCAGTTAGTTAGGTGCTAAAGATTTTGAGCACTTGCTAATCTACATTCTAACTTGGAACATATGGTTCTGAGTAGGGGCAATTTTCAGGCAGAACAGCTAGTGAGAGATCACTTTAACCTTAGTGTCTTTGCATCCATACCTTTCAGCATTGCTGTCGGGATTAATATTTGTTATTTTTCCTAGCACAAGATCTAGAACACAGTGGACATTCGATAAATATATAATTAAAACAAAAGGAAATTGAAATGTTCATCTGAAATTGTAGCAATCAGATCCTATGTCACCGTGAACTGTCACATTGAAGGATGCAAGACCTCAAATGTCTGAAAGATATTTATTATATCAAGGACTGACATGTTCTTGTTAGCACTAAATTTTTGGATGATGAGAGAATGCAGACCTGCAAAATTTCTGTGTTGAGATGCAACTTGTACTAATTCAAATTAGTTTCCGTGGTTTGAGTACCACTCCTTTGTCAGTTTGTTCAAGGGGTGGTAGTGTCAGAGCAGCAGAAGCAGCAACTGGCTGTTGTAGTTTTCACCAAGGACAGGAGTCAGAAAGCCAATCTACAGTACAAAGTATCAAAGTTAGGAAGGGGATTGGAGAGCAATGGGAGCGAGGTGGCAGCTGTCCACATAGGTAGTTCCACTGAAGGTAGGGCTGGTGGGAGAGGAGAGTTTTTATTTCCCCATCCCCCACTGAGAGCTGTTGATTGTATGCTGGGTGCTAGAATGCCCCCTCTCCTCCTCCTCCACCCTCCTCCTGTCCTCTCCTCCTTCCTCCTCCTCTCACTGTGGCTGGCATTGCTTCTCTAGGTCACAGTGGGCAGTATATTTGAAGTGGTCTGGGCAATCTTCAGACCTGGTACATCTTTTGGAATCAGTGTCTTGCGAGCCCTCCGGCTTCTAAGAATATTTAAAATAACCAAGTAAGTGATCAGAATTTGGACTTTTCCCAATGACTTTGAGAGTAGACCCCATCTCCTCTTTCCCCCATGGGGGGAAGTATCTCTTCCCTGCCCTACCCCTTCTCTATTCTTCAGCTCTTCCTTCTTCTCCAAAGATTAAACCAAAAATATCTATGATGCCACATTCCTAAGGGGAGCAATAGGTTGCTGCCCTCTCTACTTCCTACAAATATACAAATGCAGCTTATTTCATAAACTACAAGGCACATGCTGAGCTGGGCTTGCGGGGGTGACTTGGTATGCAGTGTTCACAGCTGTCACATTGTCTGGGTTTTGTAGGTATTGGGCTTCCCTACGGAATTTGGTGGTCTCCTTGATGAGCTCAATGAAGTCTATCATCAGTTTACTTTTCCTCCTCTTCCTCTTCATCGTTGTCTTTGCTCTCCTGGGAATGCAGTTATTTGGAGGCAGGTAAGTGCTCAGAAGCTTTCCATCCAAAAGACGCTCAAAACCCAGTCATAGCCTGTGTTGGGCTAGGGTCATTAACTCCGTCCATCGTGTTAACTACTATCTTGTCTGCCCTTGCCCATGGCGTGAATTGACCACTGAGTGAGTGTATATGTGGAGTAAACTTCTCCATTTTATTCCTTTCATGCTGTAAAGGGTTCTCATTCTGGGGACCCATGTCTTTGGTGCTGTCCCTGAAATGTGCAGCATGGGCAGCCCAACCCCTGTCTCACTACCCACATCCTTCAGAGTGCATAGTTCATCAATAGTAGAACTGTTACAGTCTCTGTAAGTTACTTGGAACTGGGAAAAAGTAGGGAAGAGGGGGGTTGTGGAAGAAAGGAGAAAAGAAAAAACTATGATCTTGGGAATGAAAAACTTGGTATGTGAGATTTTCATTCCCTTCTTTCTTCCATTTTATTTTTCAGGTTTAACTTTAATGATGGGACTCCTTCAGCAAACTTTGACACCTTCCCTGCAGCCATCATGACCGTGTTCCAGGTATGAGGCCAGCTATGGGTCAGAAGTGCTGTGTGGGGTCCCTTGGACTACACACTGCAAGACAAGGAAGAGTGTCGGGAGAATTCAGATTTCCTCACCAGGCTCCTCCCAGGGGATGAGGCACTCCTTCTAGTTCAGCAGTCATTACTACAGTAATCCCTAGAACTTCTGTGGCTTTGTTCTTGCCACTAATATGAGAGCTCTGTTGGGACCACCTCGTTGTCTTCTCCCACACCTGTGAGTTTGCAGGAGACACTGAGTCTGAGACATTCAGCCAAGAATCACATTTGTGGTTTTCTGAAATCCAGGGGCATCTTCTAACCCATTTAAGGAGGTATCCATTAAATGGTGTTTATTTAACAAGGTCTCTTTTCACCCTCACTTCCCTCAAAACTCAACTGTTTAAATCATGGGGAAAACTCAAAATCAATAGTGTCTTAGACCTAAAGAAAAATTCTATTTGGCCAGAATCTGAGGTTAGACCACAACCCAAGTTTCCTGAACTGCAGCCCACAAGGCTCTTTCTAATCATGCCACTGTTCCAGACACTGTATCTGGGCAGCTCTGAGGACAGTTAGATAATGACCAGACCACCAGATCTGTATGATTTCCACAAGGACCTTGCAAAGCTGGAGGTAGGAGACACTCTGTAGTTGGAGGAACAGAACCTTTCCCTTTGATGCTCTCCTTCTGTTTTCAATGCCTAAAATTCTCTTCCGTATCAAAAGAAAGTTTAGGATTATTTATGGGAATTACTATTTTTTTTTTTTTTGAGATGGAGTTTCACTCTTGTTACCCAGGCTGGAGTGCAATGGCGCGATCTTGGCAACCTCTGCATCCGGGGTTCAAGCAATTATCCTGCCTCAGCCTCCTGAGTAGCTGGGACTACAGGCGTGCACCACCATGCCCAGCTAATTTTAGTAGAGACAGGGTTTCACCATGTTGACCAGGATGGTCTCGATCTCTTGACCTCGTGATCCACCCGCCTTGGCCTCCCAAAGTGCTGGGATTATAGGTGTGAGCCATCATGCCCAGCCGGGAATTACTATTTTTTTTTTTATAACTTCCTGGCAGGACGGTCAAGCAAGGGGATAGATGCAAAAGACCTAGGCCCAGAATTTGCCCTTGGTATTGGCCCCATTTTCTCCACCAGCCCAGGTTTCTGATGCGCCTGTCATTTGCTTTGTGTAGATCCTGACGGGTGAGGACTGGAATGAGGTGATGTACAATGGAATCCGCTCCCAGGGCGGGGTCAGCTCAGGCATGTGGTCTGCCATCTACTTCATTGTGCTCACCTTGTTTGGCAACTGTATCCTTTTCAGGATGTACCTCCTCAAGCTGCCCGCCTTCCGGGACCAGCATTTGAGGAGTATTGGTGGTGGTGCTAGGGCGTGGGTTGATAGGGCAGGGGCGTGGACATTGTTTGGTGTACTAAAGTAAATCAGGATCCTGATCTGAAGGAATTTGTGTACTAGCTGGGTCAATAATGCAAACATAAGATAGAGTATTATCCAAATCTGTCGTGTACACGAATAATAACACAGGACGATGTTGCACTGAATGGTTGGAGGTACTGTGAGCTGGAGAATATTAGAGAAGGCAGAGCTCACTGTAGGCTGAAATCACAGGCACACTGTAGCACTAATGATTTAATTACATGCTAATGTCGAACAGAGCCTGCCACATAGTGAGATCTCAAAAATTAGTGTTAGGATTAATGCTGTTACTGTGAATTATAGCAAATATTTATTGTCTTTGTGCTACACGTGAGACATTAAACTAAGTGCTTTGTAGCCAGTGTTTCATCTAATCCTTATAAGACAAAGAAAATATATCTCAGTTAAGTAAAATAACTACTGAATTGTAAAGGGAGACTAAAGATCAGTTCCATCTAACTCCAGTGCCTCATCCGATCACAAGATCTAGACCAGGAGATTTAGGTTTTAATTCCAGCAACTCTGTGTATCAGTTGTGTGGCTTTGGGAAAGTTACTTAATCACTCTGAGCTTCTATTTTTCACAACTGAAAAGAGAATAATATTTATCTCCTTTGTTAGTGGTGAATACCAAATGAGATAGTTTATTTGCATGTAATTCATAACTACGGACTTTTATACAACTGTTAGATGCTTTTGGGGAGTTGGGGTTTGCTGTGAATTTGGATTAGCAGAACAAAAAGGGAGAGCCATGGGAGGTAGGTGTACTTTTGCATTTTTCATAGTTTCATAGAAAAGACGTGCTCTTTTACGTTTTCTGCTCTGAAAACTTCTAGAGGTTGGATCAGACTAGAAGCACAATATGAGAAACTCATGAAAAGAATGCAAGGCAGTGAGTCACAGACGTGAAAGCTCTACGAGTCCCAATGGCGCCGTGATTTTCCAGATATTCTGAGGGTTGTCGGAGCTGGGCATCAGTGCTAGAACAGTTCTATGTTCCACAACACCTAGGCGTTGAAGACAGTTGGAAATTGAGATTTCAGGGCCTAGAGTATGACATAGGAGTGGACTTCAGAGTGAGTCATGTCTGCTGTGTGACATTTTGTTAAATGAATTGTGGAACCCTTCAGGACCCTCACAAGAAGAATGCGAAGTTACCATCTCATTTTGGGGAGATGCTCAGTAGCAGGGGCTGTGGAATCTCACTTTGTTTTGTATTTCAGGACAGAATAGTGTGATGCTCATTGGTGTAGGTGAGATTCAATTCCAGCCTCCCAGAATGGGGAGATGAGCTCCTACACTGAGCTGTCTACACATCTCACTCAACGATTCTCTTAGTTGGTATTGCTATGGGTAAAGGCCACAGCTGTCTAAAGACCTTTTGAATGTGGCTGAACAAACTCAAAGTGCTTTTGCTTTCTCAGAGTGTTCCCTTACTCGTCAACAATCAACACAGAAGACTTCTGTGACCAAATGCATGGTTTTTTTTTTTTAACCCACCAACAAGCAAGCGGTCCTGCAGTGGATACTAGTTGGTGTCCTCTAATCAATTTTGACGCTGTCTACCTGGAGATCGCATCAGATCCCACGGGTTGAGGGCTCCATCTCCAAGACTGCCCCTGCCTTCTGATGACAGTTGCATGCCTCAGGTGACTTTGCCTGTGCTTCTGACCCATAGGCTACAATTCAGCATTCCCACAAACCCCTTCCTGGGCTTGGTTAATTTGCTAGAGTGGCTCACAGAACTCAGGGAAACACATTTACAGGTTTATTATAAAGGATATTACAAAGGATACAGTTGAAGAGAGGGAGAAGAAAAGGCATGTGGGATGGGCATGGAGCTTTCATGCCCTCTTGGGAGTGCCAGTCTCCAGGAACCTCCACATGTTCAGCTATACAGAAGCTTTCTGAACCCTGTCCTTTTGGATTTTTATGGAGTCTTCATTACATAGGCATGATTAATTAATCCTTTGGCCATTGTTGATCCAACTTAACCTTCAGCCCCTCTCCTCTCCCTAGAGATTGGGGGGTTAGGGCTGACAGTCCCAACTCTCTAACCTTGCCTTGCTTTGCTGACCAGCCCCCATGCAGAAGCTACCTAGGGGCTACCAGATAACACTTTGGAGTTTCTAAGGATTTTAAGAGTTGTATGCCAGGAAACACAGTTAAAGACCAAATAATACTTTTTCACAGTATCTTAATTCTTCTCACCCCATCTGGCTCCCAGGTGGTTTAATTCAGGCATTTCTTTATCCTGGGTAAAAATGATATGCAGAAGGAGGGAAGACATATCCTTTCTCCTTTCAACAGAGCTGTACAACCTCTCCCTCTCTGTTCCCACAGCCCCTGCTTAGGTGACTCTTCAGGGTAGCTTCTGTTCCTGTTAGTGTCCCAGGCAGGAAAGATCATTAGGTGGCCTCTCAGCCTTGCTGAAGACTTTTGCTTTTCTTATTTGCCCATCCTTAATTCATCACCCCAGACACGCTACTGAATGTGTTCTTGGCTATCGCTGTGGATAATCTGGCCAATGCCCAGGAGCTGACCAAGGTAAGCATTGTTCTCTAGGGATCTGATGTTTCTCTAATGCCATTGGGTACCCTCCAGCTTTTGGAACCCTCCAAAAGTCTACATTGTCTGACTCAGGCCTGCCAAGAAGGACCTTTCTGGAAACTTCTGGACGGTTGGATAACCATAGACCCCTGAAGGAAGCCTAGTTCGCTTTTATTGAGTTTGGTGAGCCTCAATCTAGCCTGGGGGACTCAAGAAACACAAAATAACATCTTAATTTCTATGATCCCTCAAAGGAGTCCTTTCCAGGATTATCACGGAGAGTCAAGAACATTCTAGAGCCCTGGTTTTCAATTCCATCTCTGCTACTGCAATCTATGGCACTGTGACCCAGGTCACATGACTTAACCCTCTGGGTTTTGGTGGAAGAGAGATCACGGCCGTCACAGTTCCCAGGCTATGGCTGTTGGATTATTCCAGTAGCCATGGTCATTTTGGGAAAATTTCAATGAAGCCAGATACTAAATTTCTCACAGAACGGCTCCTTCCTTTTCTGATTAACTTCCCCAGTCTGGGGAGGCAACGTTAACCGCAGTGGGATGGTCTACAGAGATGAGTAAAAACCCTTCTCTCCATAGAGAGAGCCGATGTGGTTTTGGGCAGAGGTGCATAGCATCCTGCTGTCATTTCCGAGCTTCTTCCAATGCATTCTGTGATGTTCTTTGTACATCCTTGAGGGTCTTCGTATCTGCATATATGGTAGGAAAAATACCAGCTTTAGTTGCTGAGAAACTGGGCCTGAATCCCATGCCTGCATTGGCTGTGTTGGCTTGGATTGGACTCCTGATCTCCATTAGCGTCAGTTTCCTCATGTGTGAGACGGGAATGCTGTACCCACATTGTATACCTCACAGGTTTACTGTGAGGATCAAGCGAAATAATGCCTGTGAAAAACCATAGCATGCTCTGAAGATGGATGTACTATTATCAGCTCTAGTCATTTTACCTGAGCTGGTTTTCCCTGGGTTCATCACATAGAGGGGACACTTGTAGGAATGATGCTGATGGGATGAGCTCTCTACCTGAGAACCCACTTGGCTGTGCAGGTAAGACACAGCAATGGGGCACTCAGCACTTTACTCAGCAGGCTCCTTGCCTGGAAGGCCCCTGCTCTGTCGCTTCCAGACATTGTAGGACATCTGAGAAGTGTCAGCTCCTGCCACTGACCTCCACAGTCATAACCAGCTATACTGAGGGCTAGGGGTTGGGGTAGACTTCTGATTCTCCTGGCCAGCCTATGGATGGCTCCGGGATGGAGACAAGGATTGCTAGCCACAGTGGAGCTGTGAGGCTGCTGTCTCCCAAGAGGCCTGGCCTCTGGCCGTCATAGGTCTCCCAGCCAACCTAACATCTCACTGCCTTGTTTATCCTCTTCCTGTGTCTTCCTCACTTCACTTGGTATTCAGAACTCCTCCTTAGGAGAGCCAAGGGAAGCTACTCTCCTTCCTGGGGATCCCAGGCAAAGCCATCTCTGCTTTGTGTCTAGGATGAACAGGAGGAAGAAGAGGCCTTCAACCAGAAACATGCACTGCAGAAGGCCAAGGAGGTCAGCCCGATGTCTGCACCCAACATGCCTTCGATCGAGTGAGTCAGCTGCTCCCTTCACTGATCCCTGAGCTCCTGTGCTAACAGCCAATTCATCAAGTCACAAAACTATTGGTTATAGGAGTGTACCTATTCCATGCCGGGAACTGTTCCTGAAAATACAGCAGTGAGCAAGACAGGATGTGTTCTGATGGAGCTTTTATCTCAGCCAGCGAGATAGATAATAAACACATCATTTCAGATAGTGACAGGTGCTATACGTAAATGAAGCAGGGTCCTATGGCAGAGAAGGGCAGGAGCTGGCTGGGAGCAGCTTATGTCAAGCCAGAAGAGATTCCCTCAGGAGGCGCTGTTTACAGCAGAGACCCAAATGTGTGGACGGCGGTCGTGTGACATTTTGAAGGCAGAGTGTTCCCCAGCAAGGTCCAGCATGGCTGATGTGTAATTAATGAGGAGAAACAGAGACAGGGCCAGGGAGGGGGCAGGGGACAACTCTGAGGTCCCTAAAGTCCAAGTGGAGGAGTTTAGCTTTTATTCCAGCCGAAATCACAGGAGGACTTCAAGTGGAAGGATGAATAGGATATGACTGACACTTTTAAAAAGGTCACTTTGTTCTATGGAGGATAATGGACTGTAGGGGCCAGAGTGGAGGCGGGGAAAGAGTCGGCTCTCAGAGTAAAGTAGGTGAGAGGGGATGGGTTTAGACTAGGGTGGCGGAAATGGAGGAGATGACGAGCAATCCCATTCACTCTGTAGTTGGGAGAGCCAATAGGGTAAGCTCATGGATTAAATGTGGCAGGGGTGAGGATGAATAAAAGGGAAGAAACAAAAATTGATCGCAGGTTTGAAGGTGTTGAGGACTAAGCAATGGGTTGGAGGGTGGTGGTAGTTACCGGATCCCTGGAAACTAGTGGAAATCTAAAGTTCATTTTGAGATACTTCTAAGGCATCCAAGCGTTGAGTAGGCTGTTGTGTACCTGGATCTGGAGCAAAGAAAAGTCAGAATTAAAACAATGATTTGGGGGAGGTTATTTGCCTTTAGATGGTATTTAAGCCATCAGTATGGGTCGGATGACCCAGAGACCCAAGTGCTGAGGACAGTGGCTGACAGTGCTCCTCCTGGTTAAGAGGAAAAACAAGCCCAGGAGACCAGGGGAGTGCGAACAGGAGGCAGGAGAAAGAACAGGACGCACAGTGTGCTGGAAGCCCGTGAAGGAAAACTCCGCGGGAAGGAGGAGTGGGTGCCAGTGCTGCATATTGTAGAAAGATCACATACGATGAGGAACAGAAAAGGGACCATTCCATATGGGAAAACGAAAGCTGTTAGTGACCTTACAGGAGCCGTTTCAGTGGCCACGTTGGAACAGAACCCAGTTGAAGTGGACTAGGGAGAGAACAGGAGGTGCTAAAGGAGAGCGGTGAACCCATTCCTTCAGGGATCCAGCCTGGACCTGTGGTGGAGCTACAGGCAGGTGGCGTGGGCCCTGTGTGGCCTAGTCTCTGCGTGGTGACGGGGAGGTGTTGGAGGAGAGACTGGGAAGTGACTGTGGAACCACATTGCTCCTGTTGTGGCATCTGGGCCTGCATGAGGACTGTGTGCGTGGTCAGTGCTGCTGGGGCATCTGTGGGAGGGTCTGAGACCCCCAGGAGGTGGGAATCTATCCTGGCAATGACCCTGTCATTGTTAGTTGAAGCTAGTAAGGGAGGAGCCATTGGTTGTCTAGAGCTTGGGTGAAGAGCTCCCAGGCAGCCTCTTCCTTGCCTTGTGCGGCATGCCAGGGTCGTGGCAGGGGGACCTCCCTCCCTGCACAGCCATCATCTTGCCTTTGCCTTTTGAAACTCGAGGCCCAACCCCTAGATCCCTCTTCTGTGAGAGAGAAAAACTCCCTTCCAAATTGTTAAAAATTGATAGGGAAATGCCAAAGATCGATAGGGAATATTCCTCTCTGGAATATTCTCTGGGCCTTGAGTAATTTCTACTCCACCTTCCTTGAACTCATGAGTTTGGGTTAAAAACACATACACACAGGTATCCAAAAATGTGGATGGGGAGGACTGGCTGTCACTTAGGAGTGGGTGGTTCTATTTGCTGAGCTGAAGAAGCTTGGGGGAGAAGTGGGTTTAGAGAGAGAGATGTGAGTTGGGACGATGCTTGGCCCAGAGTAGAAACTCACTATTTCTGGAATGAAAGAATGAATGAAATGTGGGTAGGCACAGGGCCGTGGGAATGGAGCAGAATGTGCACCAGGGCACTGCAAGGTGGAAGGAGGTGATGCAAACATCCAAGACCAGCAGAGACCCGGGCTTTGGTGCTGTACATGTGCTGCTGGTGTGGAGCCACCTCCGGGTGTGTGTGCCCTGCTTAGCCATGTGCACTCTGCTCAGGTATGTGTACCCTGCGGAGATGTGTGTGCCCTGCAAAGATGTGTGTACCTGTGTGTACTTTGCCCAGGTGTATGTGCCCTGCACAGGTGTGTCTACATTGCTCAGATATATGTCCCACATAGGTGTGTATCCTATGCTCAGGTGTGTGGGCCCTGCACAGGTGTGTGTGCTCTGCACACATGTGTACACTGCTCAGGTGTGTGTGCATTTTGCTCATGTGTGTGTGTCCTGCTCAACTGTGTATGCCCTGAACAGATGTGTGTACACTGCTAAGATGTATGTGCCCTGCTCAAGTGTGTGTACACTGCTCAGGTGTGTGCCCTGCTCAAGTGTGTGTACACTGCTTGGGTGTGTGCCCTGCTCAAGTGTGTGTATACTGCTCAGGTGTATGCCCTGCTCAAGTGTGTGTATACTGCTCAGGTGTGTGTGCCCTGCTCGTGTGTGTGTATACTGCTCAGGTGTGTGCCCTGCTCCTGTGTGTGTATACTGCTCAGTTGTGTGCCCTGCTCAAGTGTGTGTGCACTGCTCAGGTGTGTGCCCTGCTCAAGTGTGTGTATACTGCTCAGGTGTATGCCCTGCTCAAGTGTGTGTATACTGCTCAGGTGTGTATGCCCTGCTCGTGTGTGTACACTGCTGAGGTGTGTGTGCATTTTGCTCGGGTGTGTGTGCCCTGCTCAGCTGTGTGTGCCCTGCACAGATGTATGTACATTGCTCAGGTGCGTGTGCATTTGCTCGGGTGTGTGTACACTGCTTGTGTGTGTGTATGTGCCCTGCTCAGGTGTGTGTGCCCTGCACCAGTGAGTGTACACTGCTCAGGTGTGTGTGCATTTTCTCAGGTGTGTGTGCCCTGCTCAGCTGTGTGTGCCCTGCACAGATGTGTGTACATTGCTCAGGTGTGTGTGCTGTGTACTGGTGTGTATACACTGCTCAGGTATGTGTGCCCTGCCCTGGTGTGCATACACTGCTGAGGTGTGTGTGCCCTGCACTGGTGTGTATACACTGCTCTGGTATGTGTGCCCTGCACTGGTGTGTATACACTGCTCAGGTATGTGTGCCCTGCACTGGTGTGTATACACTGCTCAGGTGTGTGTGCCCTGCACTGGTGTGCATACACTGCTCAGGTGTGTGTGCCCTGCACTGGTGTGTATACACTGCTCAGGTATGTGTGCCCTGCACTGGTGTGCATACACTGCTCAGGTGTGTGTGCCCTGCACTGGTGTGCATACACTGCTCAGGTGTGTGTGCCCTGCACTGGTGTGCATACACTGCTAAGTTGTGTATGCTTTGCTCAGGTGTTCATGCCCTGCTTGGGTGTTGCAAAACTGCTGATTTCTGGACTACACTTTAAGTGCAAACATGACTGTCCATGGAGAAACACAGAAGGAGCACTGTTAAAAACCAAAGTGCCTGAGTGCTAGTTATATTTCTGTCACTAATATACTCCGTGACCTCAGAGAGACAATCACTCCAATCCCAGAACCTCTATTTCCCCATCTTTGAAATGAGAAGAATGCCACCTGCCCTTCCTATCCACAAGGCTATTGTGGGGTGTACACAAGGTCCCATTCGTATGAGTTGGAGACATGTGGATGCTTCTCTGTATACAGATTTCAGGTATGAATGTAAGTTTGAATCTGTGCATGTGTGAGTAGAGAGGTGAAAGCCCATGTTTGTGTGTGTGAGAGAAAGAATCCACGTATGTACACTCTTACACACATGCTTCTGGATAGCTGGTATTTGAATATTCGAGAATTTGCAAATAGATGGTGTGATGTGCTTTTGCTAGCAGGTGTGCATGCTGCCTGTCTAGAGCTTATGCTTCTACTTCTGTATCTACCCAGGCTTCTCGGCACTCCCGCCCCCACCTGTGCCTTGTTGCATTGTCGGCCGCTGATGCTGAGGGATGTATTCAGTTGAGGAGCTCACAGGCTTCTCCACAACGATGTCTGCATCAGTGGGTGCTCCTGGGCAGCCACACACATGTGCACTGTGCATCTTCCAGACACCCAGAGTGGGCCTCAGACTAGCTGCCTCTGCTCCCTCAGCCCCACCCTGTGTGGGGCTCCTCTGCAGACATGTGAGAGGTGACAGTTGAGTGGGATTAATTTGCCTAGCATGTTATTTGTGGTTGGGCATCTGCTTTATCAGGAGAGAGCAGCATTTGCCAACCTCCCAGGTCCAAGTAGGGCCCATTGGGCTGGACTGAATTCATCAGGCTGGTAACCAGGGCAGGCTCCCTGCAAGGATAGCCCAGATATGCTGTCCTCTACCTGAGCATTGACCCCATGCTGACAGCTTATTTTCCACGTGTCCTGTCTGCTTTTGCAGGCACAGCCCATACATTGCCATGCGAACATTGTGTTTGAAAAAACACAATATGCACATGGAAGAGAGTTTTCTCTGTACAAGGCTGAGAAGGTCAATACTGTGCTCTGCCCAGCTGAACATAGAACAGGGCCTATGTCCAGGGCCTCTGCATTGCTGAAATGCAGAGGTCACTGCTCACATCCTGGAGTACATGGATGGTGACCTACGGAAAGATGGCGCTGCCTCTGACCATGGACCACTTTGTAGCCTTGACATCGTGCATGGCAGAGCATTTGCTCCCCTGCATGTTAGTGAAGCTGGGTCAGGGTCTGCTATGGGAGGGATGAGCTCTGGGGAGCCACACCCGATGAATGTGCTATGCTAGCCCTAGAAATGACTGCGGGGAGGGGAAGAAAACGACTCAGCGCGTCTACAGGATTTCCACAATAGGAATCTGAAGGATGTGTAGGTGGAAGTGTGCGTGCCTGTTGGGCATGATGTTTGAGCATCTGGAGCTGTGTATCCTATGAAATGGCATAGCCTTTGTGCCTGTGCATGTGTGCTTCAAAGACTAGATCCATGTATTTGCACATAGCAAGGAATCGAAAGTCACTCCATTGGAGAGTCAAACATTGGGGGTCTACAAAGGGCAAACAGGCACACGGAGAGCTGATGGCCACACAGAGGACTCTGCGCCCTGCTCCGGAAATCCGCTGGTGGCTGTGGGGCTTGAGGTTCCTAGAGGTTGGGGTGAACTGAACCTGTTCGTTTTTCTTCCCCAGAAGAGACAGAAGGAGAAGACACCACATGTCGATGTGGGAGCCACGCAGCAGCCACCTGTATGTGTGTACCAGTTTGCGTGTTTGTGAGTGGTTATGTGTGGGCGTGGGACAACGTGTCATTGTCCTTGCCGTAGACAAAGTGGCACCGGGTGTGCATGTCAGTGTGTGCCTTGGTGTGTGTGTGTGTTCCGTGCACATGATCTGTGGATATGCCCTCTGCACCCCTCAACACGTGCTTACATCAGTGTGTGTCTACAGTATGTGACCTGTGTGTTTTTCCCTCTTCTGTCTGGCTTGCGAGTGGGTATACCTCTCATGTAGGCAGTTGTGTATAGCTACATGTGGGCCTCCGTGAGGGTGCGTGTAGGTACATGTGTGTGTCCCCTTCACAGTGTGTAGGTGTGCACCCACAGGCACAGATGGGGGGAGGAGGTGACTGTCCCCTCTGCCCAGCGAGCCCTCTCCTGTGTGCTCTTCTGCACATGTCATGTTTGTCTGTTCCTGCTGCCCCATGAATACTCCTCTAGGCCCCCGAGCTGAAATGTTCGATTGTGGTTTTGAGTATGAGCTGCTGGCAGTCTCTGCACCTAGTCTTCTGTGGCTTTTATTAGCTATTGTAGAAGAGACTCCCAGCACTCTTGCTTTTAAGGGTGATATCAAGACTGTAAGAAGTCTGCTTGGCACTCTTCTCGCACTTCCGTGGTATCCGACCATTTCAGCCCTCATTATCCCAGGCTGTTACCTGAGAGGGAAGGGAGAGGAGAGGGAGAGAGGGGGTAAGAACTTTGACCTTGAGTCAAGGGCCATAAGCAGATGCCCCGAAAGCAAGGAGAGCAGGGGAGTGAAGATGTGGTCAGCCTGTGGACTGCCGCCCGGCCCCCGCAGGCCCTGGGGACTTGGAACTCCTCCCAGGGCTGATGCCTAGCCACCCCTCAGCTACTGCAAAGCAGCGATTGGAGTGGAAAGTGCCCAGGCTGGGAGGCAGCCGTCCGATGAGCTCCTCAGGTGTGGCCCGCCCAGTCCTCCCATCTTTCTGTGCTTCCTGTCTGCAGGTCCTGGGCGCTCCCATTTGCACCCACCGTGTGTCCTGCCCTCTCACATCGCCCCTGCGGCCACCCTCCCTCCCTGACTGCAACTTTCGGGCTCTGACTGAGGCCTTGTCCTTTCCCCTTGGCAGGAGGGAGCGGAGGCGCCGGCACCACATGTCGGTGTGGGAGCAGCGCACCAGCCAGCTGAGGAAGCACATGCAGATGTCCAGCCAGGAGGCCCTCAACAGGGAGGAGGTGTCATCCATGAACCCGCTCAACCCGCTTAGCCCCCTCAACCCACTCAACGCTCACCCCAGCCTTTATCGGAGACCCAGGGCCATCGAGGGCCTGGCCCTGGGCCTAGCACTGGAGAAGTTCGATGAGGAGCGCATCAGCCGTGGCGGGTCCCTCAAGGGGGAGGGTGGGGACCGATCCGGTGCCCTGGACAACCAGAGGACCCCCTTGTCCCTGGGCCAGCGGGAGCTGCCGTGGCTGGCCAGGTCCTGTCATGGGAACTGTGACCCGACTCAGCAGGAGGCTGGAGGAGGAGAGGCTGTGGTGACCTTTGAGGACCGGGCCAGGCACAGGCAGAGCCAGCGGCGTAGCCGGCATCGCCGCGTCAGGACGGAAGGCAAGGAGTCCTCCTCGGCCTCCCGGAGCAGGTCTGCCAGCCAGGAACGCAGTCTAGATGAAGCCGTGCCCACTGAAGGGGAGAAGGACCATGAGCTCAGGGGCAACCATGGTGCCAAGGAGCCGACGATACAAGAAGAGAGAGGCCAGGACTTGAGGAGGTGAGTGAGCGCACGGAACACAGGCCGCTGTCAGGCGCTCTCAGTGTAAGCCTTTCTGAGCTCCAGTTTCCCTTTTATGAAATGGAAAGGATGCTGCACGCTTTGTGAGGTCTGTGTAAACATACAGACAGTGGGCTCTGTCCGCCTGAGAACGAGGGCCTGTGGAAGTGGGTTGTGGATGGAAGGACAGGAATAGGCAGTGGGCTGTGGGTCTTGGTGCCTTGCCTGGCTGGGTGGGGTGGAAGGCAGTGGTGATCTTGTGCTCTCCAGCCTGCCTGAGCTTCCCTGCCTTCCCCTCGTGCCAGCCACACCTGCCATTTGGAGACAATGTCTGAGCACCAGCTCTCCCCTTCTGTCTCTTCACAGGACTAACAGTCTAATGTTGTCCAGGGGCTCCAGGCTGGCAGGAGCCCTTGATGAGGCAAACACCCCCCTAGTCCCGCCCCATCCTGAGCTGGAAGTGGGGAAGGACGCGGTGCTGACGGAGCAGGAGGCTGAAGGCAGCAGTGAGCAGGCCCTGCTGGGGGATGTGCAGCTAGACATGGGCCGGGTCATCAGCCACAGCGAGCCCGACCTCTCCTGCATCACGGCCAACACGGACAAGGCCACCACCGACAGCACCAGTGTCACCGTCGCCATCCCCGACGTGGGCCCCTTGGTGGACTCAACCGTGGTGCACAGTGAGAGCGCAGTCCCTGTCCCCCTCCACCCCACCCCCTTTCCTGTCTGGGGGTGGGGACAGTGGGCTCTGGGGCCATTCCAATAAAGCCACATGGAAAACAGTACCAGGAGGAGTAAAGCATCCTTCAAGATGTAAAAATGAGTAGCAGAACAGGAATAAGCTAGAGTTCTCTCCATCTTAAACGGTGCCCATAAAATTCCCTGAAGCTTTTGGTCCCGGTGCCCATTCTCAAGTCTTCAGAGTGATCACATGTGATGCCCAGGTGGAGATTCAGCTGTTTGATTCGGTGTGTTCTCTGTGGTGTGCCAGGTGCTCTGCTGCCCCAGCAGGTGAGGGAGCCTCTGATGGAGTGGACCATGGCTCTGCTCACCGAGCGACCCCGGAAACACCTCTGTGTCTCCTGAGGCCTCAGTTTGTCATCTACAAAGCAAGAGCGTTGAACTAAATGACCTCTGAGGCCTTTCTCTGTACTAATATTTTATTTGATTCTATTACTCTTATCAACTCTTTTTTTCCCAGGAGCTTTTAGTCACAAATTCTTCCCATCACAGTTCCCTTAGGCAACAAATGTTAATCAATGATGTCTTAAAGGGAAACAGCAAAAAAAAAACCAAAAACACTTAACCTCCTTCCCCACCCCTGCTCTGACCCTACACCCCATTCCAGCATTCATCTCACACCCCATCCCTGCCCTGACCCCACACCCCACCCCTGCCCTGACCCCACAACTCATCCCTGCCCTGACCCCACAACTCATCCCTGCCCTGACCCCACACCCCGCCCCTGCCCTGACCTTACACCCCATTCCAGCATTCATCTCACACCCCACCCCTGCCCTGACCCCACACCCCACCCCTGCCCTGACCCCACACCTCATGCCTGCATTAATCCCACACCCTATCGTGCCCTGACTTCATGTCCCATCCCTTTGGCCTCACACCCTCCCTGCCTTAATCCCACCTGCTGCCCCATATCACTGAACTGTGACCACAGGTTTCCAGCTTCGCTGTTTTCCTCCTTCTGTTTCCGTATTTTTCTCTTTCACATGACAGTCTTCTCCTGTCCCTGTTTTTCTTTCTTCCACGGCTCCCTCTCCATTTCCTCATATCCTCTGCAGTCAACCCGCCCCTGCTCCAAAAAGTGCAGTCTCCCACGTCCAGCGTGTGCTTTGGTTGACTTGGGCCTGTCTCAGATCCCAGACTCACAGCTCTTTTGGTGTTTGTTTGCTTTTTTGATTTAATAAGAAGTGTTTGGGGCCTTCTTTTATGCGAAAGAACGTGAAGAAAGCTTCACTCTCCCTCTGTTCTCATTCCAGAGCTAGTCTTTGGTCATAAGTAAAAGCAAGTGATAGCAAGGCTTTTGGATACTTCCTATGACTTACTCTTTAGGAGACCCCGGCATGGGCCAGGACCACAGGGGTCTGCTGCTGGCACAGGGTTCCAGGGTGGAGTCATTCAGTGAGCAGGGAGCAGTGGGCGAGCCTGACTGGGGCCCTTTCCCTACTGTGATAGCTTCAGCCCCCTGCCAGCTTAACCCACACTGTGTCTTGAGTATGGAAACAGAGCAGCAGCTGAGAGCTACACTCGACCTCTGGCTCCTTCATCCTCCCAATCCTGGAATGCAGTAGTGGACCTATACTCACATGAATATTGCATTCTCATTTCTACATTAATGATGGCCAAAAAAAAAAAAAAAAACATAGCCAGAAAGGCCGCTGCAAACAGAGTCATGATTTCTTAAAATCTTCCACTGCAGGGTGATTCATTGAAAGGATACAGGATTTTGAATTGGGAACCCATACTAGCTGTATGGCCTTAGGAAATGTACTTAAATTGCCTGAACTTTAGTTTTCCCCTCTGTATCATGGGAGTAATAATACATGCCACTCAGGACAGATTGATGGGGAAATTCAATAAGTGCGTATGTACAAAGAGTGCAGAGTTTAACCTTGTAAACTTTATAACAGAAACACCATACTGTTTATCAGACTCTAAAAGTTCAACCCTAAAAGGGGACACGTGATCATAGTCATTTATATGCCATAAAAAGTTATTTCTTGTAACATTTGAAGAGGGTAAAAATAAGAAGTGTTGAACTCAATGTCCGGTAGCAAATACCTGCAGCACGTGCAGGGCACCTTGTTGGGGCGTCCCTGGAGCCCTTTCTCCTCCTCTCCTTTCATCCCCAGCTAAACGCAAAGGGTGCCATTTTCACACGCAGCACGGTTTCTGAAGATTTCAACGTGTTCCTCTTGCAGTTAGCAACAAGACGGATGGGGAAGCCAGTCCCTTGAAGGAGGCAGAGATCAGAGAGGATGAGGAGGAGGTGGAGAACAAGAAGCAGAAGAAGGAGAAACGTGAGACAGGCAAAGCCATGGTGCCCCACAGCTCAATGTTCATCTTCAGCACCACCAACCCGTAAGCCACCCTCGCATTGCTCCCTCTTTGGTGCTAGGGTAAACGGCCAGGTGTGAGGCAGGGAAGGGCGAAGGGGAGAGGAAGGATGAGGGTCCAGTCATCTCAAGCCTTCCTGGTGGAGTGTGGCCAGACATCGAGCATCTAGGGTGCCCACTGGGTGAGGTGGGTTGGTAAGTTAGGCAGCCTCTGAGCTCTGTGTCTGTAGCTGAAAGAGTAATGTCAGACAGGAGAGCATGAGAAATATCATCAGAAAGGAACTCTTCACCTAGTTTTCGGTCAGTAGGTAGCATGGAGGGTGGAAGGAAATCTACTTGAGATTGTGTCACCAAATGTTCCAGAAGTGGATAGAGCCAAGAATGTGGAGCCTAGAGCACCAGATCACCTGTTGGAGTTGAGAGTTTTGGTCACAGTGCTCTACATGTGCAGTTTTGAAATGGACTGCTCTGAGCATGCTACTCAGAGGAGATGCAAGGGCATGAGGTGGGGGTGGCAGAGAGGAGTCTGGAAGATTAGATTCAGGAAAGATGGAATTTGGGAAGAGCATTCCAGCAGGGCTCTGGGAAGGGAGCAGCCTCCTGGGTTAGTGAGCCATCCCTGGCTAGAACGCAGAATGTAGAATACGGTTACTTTAACCAGAGTAACATGGGGCTCATGAAAACCCGTTACTGCTTTCATCAGGAATCTTAGAATCAAGATCTATTTTTATGTTTCTTGGTCCTTTGTAATTTCCTTGGGATGTCCCAGTTTCCTTACAGTGGGAGCGTAGATATGGAGATACAGCAGAGGGTGCTGTGCAGCCTCCCTGAGTTGGTAGGCTGATGCTGGCTGCCCCCCATGGCTCAGACGTGCCTGCAGATAATGCATTTTGGCTTGCGTGCTGCAGCCTCTAACCAATCTGATTATCTTCCCCCACTGGGGCTTTAAATCAAGGGTGGTGCCTGAGAAATTAAATTGCTCTCCCTGGCGGCTTCCTTTGGCGAGGGCCTGGCTGTCTGGACGGGGCCGATGTGTGTATGTGGGGAGTGAGGAATAAGGGCATGGGTGCGGTGGGGAGCAGTGGGGGAGTGGGTCAGTTCAGCCGTGCTCCACCGCCCGCAGCATCCGGAGGGCCTGCCACTATATCGTGAACCTGCGCTACTTCGAGATGTGCATCCTCCTGGTGATCGCGGCCAGCAGCATCGCCCTGGCGGCAGAGGACCCCGTCCTGACAAACTCGGAGCGCAACAAAGTGGGTGCACAGGGGCCATGTGCCAGCCTCCGTAGTGCCCTGGTGCCCACCCTCTCCCAGCACTGGAGGTGAACTGAGATGGGAGCAAGGTTGCTAGGAATGAATAAGGATTGGAAATTGTCTGGGAATGAACCATTCCCAGACAAGCCCCTTCCCAGCCCAACATGCTGTGAGGCTCTGCCCTGAACCGGCCAGGGCTCTGCGGGGGTCGGTAGCCACCCGTGGGCTTGGATGTAGGTCATAGCTCCACCACAGGGGCCAAGGCCTCTCCTGGGGGTCCCTTGGGAATATGTCAGGCGATATGAGGGATACAAGGAGGACAGGAGCTGACAAGGATTCCAGGTCCTGAGCCAGAACTGAGGGACAGGTTTGTGGGCAATTCAGACCCAAAAAGCTAAGTTCTGGCCAACGAGAGAAAGCAGCCAAGGAGTGGCCACTGGGTCATCCAGTCCCAGCAGGGCCTGCGCCCCTCCTCCCTGCATTTCTTTCTCAATCCAGCTAGCGGTTCTGATTCCAAGCCTTTATAGGGCGCAGTGAGTGAGGGCCAGGGTGGGCGTGCATGAGTGCGTGTAGCCTGCTGGCCACACGTGGTCATTTCCCTCCACCATACGTGTCTTTCAGGTCCTGAGGTATTTTGACTATGTGTTCACGGGCGTGTTCACCTTTGAGATGGTTATAAAGGTAAAAGCTTCTAGAGAAAAACTGGGCTCTTGGGTTTGGATGGGTCACCTGTCTGCTCCTTAGGCTAGAGCTCTTCCTCAGTGTTACCACCCTCTAGCCAATGGCAGTCCTCAGTAGGGCTTCTGCTGCTCCTGCTCTGGCCTCAGAATGCTGAGGAAATCTGCCTCAGCTAGACATGGCAGCATGGATACGTTTGTACTGGTGCAGGGCTGTGGACCTGGCCCAAGTTGGGGGCAAGCAACGGGTGTGCAGACAGGCTTGGGTCTGCAGTCCTCGCCCCAGTGCTTGTCCTGGCTGAGTGCCCAGGCAGAGGGCTAGGTAGAGATGGGTCTTCCTGGGCTTCACCTAGTCCCAGCCACCCTAACACCCCACAGCCTGTCTTGTTCCCAGCCTCATCCATCCGGGATTTTACCCATCTGTGCATATGGCAGTGCCCAGCATTCTGAGCCACAAATGAAAGGAGGAATGTGGCAAGGTTCCATGACAGCCAAGGGGTCTAGTGAACCCTGAGTGACTATGAGACGGGGGCCTCGGGACTCAGTTATGTGGAGACAGCCTGCTGGCTCCACCTTCTCGTTCTCCAGGCTCCAGCGTAGGGCTGGTTATGGAGATGGTGGCAGTGGAGGCATTGCTGTGATGAACAGAGCTCAGGGCAGGTATTGCCCGCACCTTCCGGGCTCATTGTGGCTGTCCTCATCCTTCTTCTGCAGATGATAGACCAAGGCTTGATCCTGCAGGATGGGTCCTACTTCCGAGACCTGTGGAACATTCTGGACTTTGTGGTGGTAGTTGGCGCATTGGTGGCCTTTGCTCTGGCGTAAGTGACTCTTTTCTTGTGTGATTCCCATCCCTCCCCTCTTCCTGGAGACTCCAGCTGATTTGAAGCCCTTTCCAGAAATGCAACATGCAGGGTGATGCCAAAGAATGCCCCTCTGGGAATCTGCTCCCCAGGCACCCTCAGCAGAGTTCCTAAGGGCCTTGCAGCTCCAGTTCATGTAACCTGAGAGGCAGAATGGGGGAAGCAGGAGTAGGAAGTGTCAGGAGGAAGAAGTCTGGGGCCCTGGGAATTCCTTTTCTGGAGACAGAAGCATGGGCAGATGCTCACAGTGTAGACAGTGCCTCTGTGCACTCAGCAGTGGACCCAGGAACATCTCATGCGCCCCTTCTTTCTTGAGTGTGTCAATTAAGGAAGCAGCTTGAAGGAAAGATGCAGAAGGTAGAGTAGAGCAAAGTTGAGGATCACGGCATCCTAGGCGTGGTGAAGTTTTCTGCTTATGGCAGGCATAAACAAGAGCTCTTCAGGGATGCAAGAACCCTTTTGCAGGAACCTAATAATAAGTTTAATCTCCAAAAGGAAAGGCCTTCCAAACTTTCCTTGATAACATGCCTAGGAAAACAGTCTTAAACCATTACCCACCCCATCTTTAGGGGTGTAATGAACTAAATCACCTTCATCACATTTGGGGGATTTCTTTTTCCCACACACATAGATCCAGCTGTGGCCTGTTTTCAATCACATTCTGGCATTTCCTGTGAAATCTCACCAAGGAAAGGGCTCTTCCAGCCCTCCTGGGTGTAACTAGGAAATGGGATGCTCTCAGGTCCTAGCCAGGTGTGTAGAGCGCTCCAGTGGGATGAGTGACAGCCTCGGGGTCCTGTCTGTACTTTGTTCATCCTGAGCAGCTTCAGCCTCTTCCAGGAGGCACAACAGACTTCTCGGAGCCATCTCCTAAGTCAGTACAAGTGGAAGCGTCATCTTCAGTCTATGCAAGGCCAGCTACACCATGTGGCACGGCAGGACAGCTTTTGGAGCTGCTGTCATTGATGGCAGCTGGAAAAGGATCATGATATCTTAATACATTTGCCCTTCCAAGTGGTTTTTCCTCCAAAGGTTTGCCCTTCCAAGTGTTTAGAAAGAGATCACCCTTGGAACGATTTGCCCTCCCAAATGTTTAGACAGACAGGGAGGCTGACAGCGCTTTTCCCCAAGCACTGTCAGCTCCTATGTCTTATCTTTTCTTGGTGAGACTTATGGGATATTTCTCAAGTGGCCTGGTTGGGGCGGAGATAGTGGAGAGCTCTCTGTCTTAAGGAGAGGTACAAGGTCCCTGGCTGTGCTAGGTTTGTAGGATCTCCCAGAACCTGGAAGTGGACTGTGTCCGCTGCCTCCCCAGCTGTGAGAGACCCTTCAAAAGAGAACCACATTGAGCATAGTCTGTGACCCTGAACTGGGCTAGCGATCAAGGTAACTCCAGTGTCCCTTGTCCCCTTGTGCACATGCTAATTCCATTGTGTGCAGTCACCCCTGCCACCCACAAAAAGAAAGTTTCCTGTCAGATGTGGCTGGACTGTTCTTGAGGAAATTTTACAGAAGCATGGGGTATTTTGTCAAGCATCTGGGCCCTGTCTGGATTCTCATTGTGCAATGAAAGGAAAGGCAGCTCTGGCCCCATCAAAGGACTTCCAGCTCCCCTGCCCACTTCTTGGAAAGATGGATTAAAATCTGCCTTTGCCCTAAGGAGACCCAGTTTTTTGTTAGAGATAAATATTATCTTTGGGTTTTTAAAAGGTCAAGTTCCCTTTTCATTTTGTCAATTCATTTGCATAGATTATTCACCATATCGTTCTTCTTATTTGATCTCACTAAAAATCATGTGTGTCTCTTTGAAGTATAAAGGACAGGAGAGAGAAGCATATCAGAAAGAACCCACCATATCTTTAGGAAGAACAGAACAGAGCCCACTGGTGTAACAGGACGGATTGGCAGGAAAGGCCGGGCGGTGGAACCAGATGGGCCCTTGTTTCAATCCCAGCCCCTCTACTTTCCAGCTTTGTGTCCTTGAGCCACAGCAAAATATTAGCCCTCCTAACCTGAGTTCTCATCTCTGAAACGTAGGTAAAACAATGTGTGTAAAGTGCTTAGCACGGGGCCTGATGTAGTGTGGATGATCAGTAAATGTTAATTCCTCTCCTCATCCTTCCATTCTCCTATCACATCATGAAATCCAAATATAGGAGCAAGTCTGTATTGATGCACAGTGTATGCCGATAGATGATGTGTGCAGGCTGGTCTAAGGCCTAGTTGTTTTATACACACACGCCCCACTCGCCTATACCTGTGTGCCTGGTAACCAGGCTGGCATGTTGGTGCCAGTGTGGGAAGAGGTGTGTTTTAGAGGAAGCTCCTGTATGCCTGCCCCTTGTCCACAGTCCAGACATCGCTCCCCAGACCCAGAGCAGTGATGAGGTACAGTAGAGCTGTCATCTGTCTTGTTTTTCCTTTGTGCCCTTTGAAACGTGGCGGTGGTGGCTTTGGTGCTGGTGGCAGGGGAAGCCTTAGCACCCCCGGAGCCGAAGCCTCTCTGTTGGTCCTCAGACCAGGTACAGTGCAGGGGCCCCCAGGATCCCCCTGGTTCTGGGGTCCACACTTATGTGATGGATTGAGAGTTACGATCCATCACTTGCGTTTAGTCATGTCACTTCTTGAACACTCTTCGTTTTCTCCGAAACGTAGATGGTCCTTGCTCACCCTTTTCCATCTATTCTCTCGTTTGCCTTCAAGTTTCCAAGCTTGCCGTGCCCATTTCCTCTCCCCTTTCTCTGTTCAGGGAGCAGGCTCCCACTCCTCCTCCCCTGGCCTTCATCGTGTTTGCCAAGCGGGGTCCAGCTAATGCTGTCTCTCGCTCATGCACCCATGCTTTCTAACTGCCTTGTTCTTTCCTCATTAATGGCACCAGAGAATTCAGCTCTCGCATCCCTTTGGTGGAGTTAGCCAGAGTCCCACCTGCCAGCAGAGACAGGGCCTGGCCTGGGGCAGAGAGGGAGATGAAGTCACGGAACCTTCGTCCCTCACAGTCAGGGGCTCAGGCCAGCACAAAGCCAAACGTGGGGTCATCTGCAGGCTTGCCAAGCATCTCTCTCCTCGTGTTTACAGCTCTCATTGTCATATCCCATATGGTTGCCCCATAATGTCCACCATTCAAATAACCTTGTTCCTGTCCTAGTCTCTCTCTCCTTCTTGAAATTGAACCTCAACTTACCAGCAAGGCTTCTGTGAAGCCTATTGCTTAATAAACTTGAGCTGTTGATGGTGGTTGCCATGGTAGCCTCTTTCTGTGGCTCCTCAGAAACCAGGACTGACATGGCATTCCTTCCACCACCCAGCCAGAGCCTTCTCCGATCCTGGCCCAGCTCCCAGGAGCAAAGCCCCCCCCCACTAAGCGGGGGGAATGACCTCCAGCTGAATTCTCAGTGAAAGTTGCGGTGTCCCCTGAGCCCTCCTGCTGAGGCGCGTGCCTGCCACCATGTATGTTTTCTACGAGCATGTATGTTGTTTATGTAGTGGCTGAAGAGAAGCCCGTTCTCCACAGCTGCATACATCAAGTAAAGGGAACATTTATAATGTAAACCTGACAAATTCCGTTGGGGAACTTTATTGACTTTTGAGGAGGAAGGGAAGTGGATTTATTCATTTATTTATTTTTCTTCTTGGGTTTAAGTGTGGGCAGAGCCATGGATAAGAAAATAAATGGAAAGATACCCACATTGCAACTTTTCTGTTCTTTCCAATTCACTTTTACATTATAAGGCATTTATCAGAACGCCCGGGTCTCCGTCCTTCAGCCCAGCACTCCTGCAGGGAGGTGGGCAGAGTTTTGGCAAATGCTGGGTTCAGGGCTTCCTCATTCTACTGCCCTCACAACACCCGCTTTCTGGGCCACATGGAGACAGAGTGTTTGCTGACTATAAATGTCTAGAGCTGTGCCTTTTCTACTTTGAGGTTTCAAGAAAAGTCTGGTGAGTGGCTGGATCTATGAAACCTGCCTCTTTTTTCTTTTTCTTTCGGAAGAAGAGGGATTCTTTTGTGTGATTTTATGCGAAAGGACCAGAAACCGCTTTGCCCAGTTTCTGAACACCCTGTTACCATCTTGCTGCTTCTTGGCCCTCCGGTGGGAAGGCAGGGATGGTTACAGCCTTGGCATTTCTGGGGATCTGCACATGAGGCACATTCCCCTGCTTTGGGGGATAGCCCCCAACAACCAAAGTCAGCTGCCTTGTAGGGAGGTCATGAGGTCCCACAACCACTACACAGATTGCTTTCATGAACCTCACAGAACCCTCATGTTTCATGCCTTTCATGTTTAGTGAAGCGACTTGGGGAGACAGATGGCAGGGACAGCATCTCTAGAGAAATGCAGGAAAGGACCAGCACACCTGTGCATGTGTGTCTGTAGTGTGTGACACCTGCGCTCCAACCCAGGTCCCTCACCCTCCCCACTTCCACTGTTCTACAACATGTTACTTGACTAGATCAATTCACATTAGCAGATGAGCTCTCCTGGATTGGATTCTAAGTAGTAAACTCACAGCTTATAATTGCTGGTCAGCACAAATGGTTTAACAGAAAAATAACTAGCAATTCTGCTCCCATCTCCTCCCCTGCCTCGGAACTTACCATGGCCTGTGCATCAGTCCTTTCACACAGGCTCTCTGGTGGCTGACGCCAAAGCTTCCTGTTGCAATTTGCCGTTGTAGCAGGGCACGGGGTGAGGTCAGAACTCCCTGGCACCCAGGAGATTTGGCTTATAGCTGCACTTGGCCTCCCATTATTCAGTCCTTAGCCAGAAACGAAAAATATGAGTCAATCTGCCTCTTGATGCCAGAAGGAACTGCAGTTCCCACATTAGCTTTTATTCCATTCTTTTCATTGAAGTCTATCACTTTCCTGACACTTGACACTCTGCCCTAGTCCCTGAGATGGATAAGGTCCATTGAATGCATTCAGCACTAGCTGCAGCAGCAGAGTTATACACACAG